TTTGAAAAAAAGCGACTACCATTATAATTTAAATGGTTGTAGCCGTTTCATGTACAAGTTCATCAACAACTCTTCTAGATGTTTAGAAATTTGATTGCGCCAAACATTCTAAAGTCAACTATCATAAAGTGGAAAAAACTGACCAAAATGAGAAACTATTCGAGGCCTTTGCGAAGAAATAACGACTGAGTACATGATGAAACTAAAAGTGCCCAAGATTTTTATTTAGAAGAAATGAAAGGTGCACAATAGTTTAGAAAAATTTCCACCAAAATCTAACTTTTCGTATTCGCTCCCATGCTCTATGATTACAACAAAGTAACGATCGTTGAAGACCGCCGCTTTGCTACGATCCACGACGCTACTAATGCGACCTTGATTGTCGTCAAGATTGTTTTCACCGTCGTTGATCACGAGACGCTCAGGAAAAACATGTAGCAGAAGAAGTTCAGAATCGGGCTGAAACGGTGAGTGTGTTCGGCTCTTCGTACGAAACTGAATACTTTACGTACCTGAACAACATTGGGAATCTGTCCAACTTCCAATACACATCCTGGTTTGGCGGTTGACTGAGTTGACACAACATTAAACTGTTGAAGAAGGCCAACACTGTGATGCTTTCGGAGCGATGGAGAGGGTGGCCCACTAATTTTGGCAAACACTTGCTAAAAGCAAACGTAACAAACAAGACGTAACAAAAAGTCCTACTCTTCCGCGGTGAACTTTTTTTGGCGAGTAGAATTATAGATTTCAGCCAGCAGTTCGCTAGCATCAACAACCGCCTAAACAATAAAGAAGGTGTGTAAAGGAAGTCTTGAACATCTACAACCATGAACAACTGATACCTGGTATATGACAAGATTCCGACCATCACTTGCAATGAAACAAGACGAAGGAGAATTACATACAGTTCCCAGAGTGTAGCTGAAATGGATCTGATTTTCTGTGACAGTTTCATCGGCTCGTGGAATTGTACAAATAATGATGATGTAATAGAAATAAAATAACCTCTTTAACTAACTGAGGCCCTACGAAGAATGTGCAATTTAACAGCAAACGTGTTTGGTTGAATAATAAAAATATACCAGCCGTGGAGGAAAGTATAGTCGGAGTGGAAAAAAATAAGTGTAAGTGCACCTATATACTAACGACTTTGGGATGAATGTATAACTAATGAAACAACCTCGGAAGAATGACAGGAATCCATCCAAGACGATCAAATCCAGAACGGGAAGGATTAGCGACACGTGCTAGCTCTTTTACGCCGCCACTCTTACACAACGGACCAACTGGAGCAATTTTCCACAAAACAACCTCAGATAGCGCACACTGTTCCTGATTACAGTTGAACATTTAAATAGAAACACGACCAATAACAAATAAGAGAAAGGGAATAATTATTAAAAGAAAGGGCTCGATATCTTACAGTATTTTCAACTATTTCACCACTTCGGAATTGCGATGTCGTCAGAAGAAGTGGAAGCACAGGATGGGCAACCACCTGTTTGAAGAACAATTGGAAATGAATAAATAAGATCACTTTAATTCTCCTACGAATAAATTAAGTTCACATATGCTATTATAAATTCTATAATCGGAAAAGAGTCACAAGATTGAAACAGCTAGGAAGCCACACCTGGTTTATCTGGAAACGATGACCACACATGCGTGACATATGTGTGATACTAAGAATGGTTGCGAAGTTACTGTTGTCGTCAACAGCCATGTGCCATAAGTTTAAAGAACCATTTTCATGATTAGTCAGCACATGTACCGTATTCGAGATTCTCCTTTCCAACAAACGATCGCTCAGTGGGTAATCTCAATATACAACTATATCAGCAACAAAAGCAAATGTGTGCCAAATGAAAACCAGAAGACCTGTGGAAGTAGCAACAGTACCTGGATCCTTTCCTTCTTCTCTTCGAAGCACGTCAACATAAATAGGCTCATGAGGGTTGAACGTATTGAGGGTGGGATGGAGAGAGGATGCATCAGTTATAGGAAAAGCCGCTTGAAAAAAGCAAACCCAAGCATTAACACTACAACAAGGAAGCTTTAACATGAGAAAGGCAAACTAACAAGGAAATCGTGATGTGAACGAAATAACAGGTTGGCGGTGCAGATCGTCCAGCCATTCAACGGTCCTAAGAAAACATGTCGAAACTGGAAAATAATACCAGTAGGAAAATTACTCTTCTACCAAATTAAAAGACTGCCGTCGACGGGGTGGATGGTAAACAACACATCGTTAGACCTGCTCCACTGCCTCAGTAAAATCTCTAACTTGACGTCGAGAACATCTTTCGAAGATAGGGATTCCTTAAACGAGATGAAATAACCAACTCAGAGCGCGTAAAATCAACAATAAACACATGTTCAAGCAAGGGTCTCAACGCCGTTATTCGTTAATCTACATGACGTATTCGCAAATGGAAGATAAATGTTAGAACGTGAACGAAGACGGTGTACAAATACGAAAACTATGGTGTTTTCGTATAATTTTAGTAAGCAGTGAAGCTTTGATCAGTGAGAGGAACGGAGGGATCATTTACAGGTGCCCGCCCAATATACACGACTCAAAGGATTAATTTAAAAGTGATATACAAAACAGAGGTGTAAGTAAACATGAACAATTCGTACAGAACAAACACTCCCAAATGTATTGTTTGTAGATTCCACTTTCTCATTCTGACCATTCGTAGGAGGACTCTCATTCTCCGCATTATCACAGGGGCTCATAGTTGCCAATCCTAAAAAAAATGCACTCTTTGAGAAACTCCAGTTTACTAAAATTATAAACAAACAACAGTTAGGATCACTTTCTGAGAGAAGAGCTTCGGCAAGCAACTTTTCAGCTCCAATGCTAAACACCAATTCTTTGTTATTCAACCAATGTACACAAAGTGGTTTCTGAAGCACACCACCGTTCTCCATAGAGGGGACGAGCATACAATCTGTATCGTGGCAAGTTAGCAATTATGAAATACCTACGAAAGTGAACAATAACTTAAAAATTCAACCCAGACAAACACGTCTGCTCACCAGTTTCGGCATTGATTGTGGCGGCCAAATGAAACTGAACATTATTGTAATAATGGTGAAGGCATTGTAAATCACTGAACGAGGAACTTTTTCCTATCTGTGCTCTTAGACCTAAGGCATGAGGCAGCTCCTCACCACGACGCCTTTTTTCGGGCCTGCAAATGCATTATTTACAAGCGGAAGCATCTGGTTGATAATTTGAATAGTTTGCAGAAAAAAAAACATTCGAAAAGCTGGAGAACATACACGATTCCTCTAAGCTTATTTATAATCTTGTTCCTTGTTTTCTTAACTCGGAAATGTTTCCCAAAGATTTTTCGTGGTCTACTTCTCTCCCATGATGGTTCGCCTTAAGAACTCGGATACAAGGAAAATTAGAGAAAACACACATTTCTAACTCAAAAATTTTTATAAGCGTACCACCATCGCCATTCAAGTCAATTATCGCTAATTCCGGAGGTGGTGTTTCCTTCCAAATACGAGAAGTATTGTCAACACACCAAGTCATCAACACAGCTTGTATACACTTTCTATAGCATACAAATCAGTAAAAAATGACTCGAACAATAACTTTCGTTTTTTTTCTTTCTTAATCAACTAACCTAGGCATGTACCTCCCTGTTCGCCTCCATTCTAAACCACGCACGGGAGCTGGGTGATAGAGAGGAACGAAACCAAAGACTAGTTGATCACGTGTGTCGTCTTTAAATTTAGAAAGGTGATGCTACTTCAAACGTGGAAAACGTAAAATAACAAGGAAAAAAAGTACGAAAAAGAACAAAACACAAATAAAAATGTGAGATGGGGAAGAACTAACGACATATGGTCGAACTCACCACCAGATTCCTGATAGAACAGTTTAACCAAATAGTCATTTTCACCAGAGACCGCGAGAAACATGCCGTCAGGAGAGAATTTTATGTACTTGGGTCGTTGTGCTAACTTCACTGACCATACGATATCCCAACTGCAAGCATCTTGAGGCTGATCCTAAATGAGAATATTGTGACCCAACGGTATTGAGACATGGATAAGGAGGATAAGGAAAATAGATGAGAAAGTCACAGACCTCCTCCGCTATACTGAACATTACTGGAGCAGTAGAGCCAGGTCGAGATATGCAGGTAAGACTGCGATGTTGGTAAAGAAATAATTCGTCCCCAATTACTACAGTCATTCGCAACCCTAAAAAAGCGTAGAATCAGAAATGAACCAAAAGACTTAAGACCTCCTTACCATCCATATTCCATAAAACGGCGTTCACTTGCTCCTTCACAGTGAAACAGTGCGACGCAACCCACTGATAATTCAGAAGCTAAATAAAATACGAGGACTGAAACCAAAATGTATTATATTGAAAGCACTGTATTCATGTTCAATGTCGTACAGATTTACTCTTGTCAGAAAGAACACTTGTTGGCTCAAATACCCGGATGATGTTGCCGTAGGTAGCCGCAATCTACAATACAAATAGCTTTTGCTACCAATCAAAATGGTCAACTGATTTTCAGAAGCAATTCGTCATAAGAAATCCTCGAAAGCGTTTCACCTTTCCTGAGTCATGACAGCAGCTCACACTGGTAACCAGTTGCTCCGTATGATGAGAACATCCGGGGATTATCTAAAACACTGCTTCATAATGTATTCATGAAATGAAACCTGTAGCGCACGCTCACTTACCTGCACTCTCGAAAAATCCGCGCCAAGTATTACAACATCCGAACCGACTGCACACGCCTGAATAAGATCAAATAGTGAACACACTCAAAAACCAATCGATATCAGGAAAAAAATGGAACGAGATGGAGACAGAGAGAGGGAGAGAGAAAGAGAGGAAACCAAAACTGCTCAATGTGAGACGAACTTTGAACTCACTATGAATGTAGCTCCGTCTACAGTACCAGTGGCGTATACGTTTTCCCCTTTATTCAGTGCACCTGTGATCACCTGATGTGCGGTACTCATCAGAGCGCAGCTACTCCACAGAACTTCCTGAAAATTTCGTGATGAAAAGTAACAATGGAGGAAATATGATCGACAGATAAGGAAGAACATAACGGTTCGCATCAATGTCGCACTATGAATAGAGAGAAGAACTAAAATGTCATCAGAACCTCACATATATCTTAATTTACAACTATACATACATATACAATACATATGCATATATACGTGTATACACATACACAAGCACATATATGTGAACATATGTCATATATGATAGGGATGTGTGCATATATGAATGTGGAAGTAGTTGGGTATAACATAAAGAGCACTATGTAATGTATGTATGCATGTGAATATATGTATAACCGTGTATATACAAGGGGATGTGAACTTGTCGATGTGGAAGGAGGCCGGATGAAGATGGATGTGCTTCAGGAAAGCGTCGGAAGAGACGTGGATGAAACGACAAACACGGCCCGCCGGTCGGTCGTTCGGCCGGTGATCGCGAGCGAGAGGGAAAGCGGATTGCACGACGATGGAAACGCATGAATGTATTGAGGCAGGCATAATCGACAGAACTGGTTCAACAGCGAGTAGTCGGGGATCGCCACGACTCATGAACATCGACCTTCGCCGAACAGAGCCGGCTCGCCTCATCTGCACAATCCCGACGCGAGCGCCGGCCAGAACTCTGATGACATGAACCACATGAGACATACCAAATGGTACATACCTGCGACGGGAACGATCACCAAAACTAGAGACGAAATCGGAGGGCGTGAAATTTTATGAGACGTTTTGCCTCTTATTTACAACAAGCCGAATTCATTAGACCCGCGAGGAAGAACGCAAGAATATTTGCGACTTTCATACAGTTCCATACATAAATACATCATTCATATATAAATAATAAAAAAGGTGAAGAAAGTACAACGGGTTCTGGCAACGTGCCAATATTGACGTAGCAATAATACTCAAAGAAAACAATCGTTATAGGACCAAATTTATCAAAACAGACTTTTGCATGGACAGAGAAGTTTTCACATTTGAGATCGGTGCTTCTTTCCCTTTGCATTTTTCACGTTTCTATAGTCGTTTGTTTGTTCCATAACCTATCACCAAGAATACACTGGACGAGCACATCGTACGAACTTTGTTACTTTTGAGTTTCCTAATGAGTTTCCATACATGTGAAATTTATGCTTGATCATAAATCACCACTCGAAGGCTACACAGACGAAGTTGCAGTTGGATCGCTTTCTTTTTTGTTGAATCTTGGGCTAACTGTGCGCGTAGACGAAGTCAGCCTCTCATACGTGAGAATATGAAGGAGTTCTGAGGAGTTTTTTTGTGCAACGGGTGGTTTGAATCCAAAAAAACGTGCTCTTCCCATAAATGTGAACAGTCGTTAACCTACATTGTTCACTTGATCCGTCTGCCATCACGTCTGTGGATCTCAGTCGTTGACGGGTGTTAAAGTTTTGTCTCTCTGACTCTTAGTTTTCTTCCGTTTCTTTCGTATTATTTAGATTAAAACACAAGGAAAGCCAGATTACAACCTAAATACTGCCAAGTGTTCTGGGCCATCTCCTGAACGTATAACGAAGAATCATCCGCTATCAGGGGATCACAAGCCGTTCAGTGGCCCGGTAATGGCGGATATTTGATAAATTCCTTAGAACCGACTTTCGTTTGCGAAAATTCACAAAACTCGTGGGATGTTCTAGAGATTATTAATGAACTTCAACTTGATTGTTATTACAGATGCGCTGGTGGTTTTCTTCATGACATCGATGGCAACGGTCTTTCACGGCAACTTCGCTTGGAAAGGAATATGAGGCAATTTTCATGGTGGGTTCTTACTCATTTTTATTTGTGACTTGTTTTTGTGGTTTTATGGGACAACTTAAGCCTTCTCGCAGTCGAAATAGTTCTGTTTTCAGTGATGCCGAAACATTTGCAAAACACCAGACCGCATTTGTCTGCGGTGGGGAACGAACGCGTTATTACCCTTTCCGGGGACTATTGCGTTCACCATCACACCATGCGAGTTCTTCGTTTTGCCTGTCTCTTAGCTAGTTCTATCGATCACTGACATCAGCAACCACTCGTCAGCGGGATTGATCTCGGGAGTCCAAATCGGCAATGAACCCAGTTAAACTGAGGCTGCAGTTATAATCATAACTTCAGCATATTATTTGCTGCCTACTCTTCTTAATGATAAGATATGTTGCGAAATATAAGCTCAATGATGCCGAAACATTTGCAAAACACCAGACCGCATGTGTCTGCGGTGGGGAACGAACGGGCTATTACCTTTTCCGGGGAGAAAAAGCTTTGTTTTCAGTTCATCGTAGCCACAAATTTCTATTGCAGCATATATTGCCGTTGCTTGTGTATTTATATTACAATGATTATCATTTCTAATAAGCTAACGATGTAGCATTTTGAACAGCAAATGGAACGAAGGCGTATTTCCTCCTTGCCACCTCGTACCCAAAAAAAAAACATTAGACATATCGCGATTTTACAAAAGTGGCACTTTTCTGTATCCAACCTCACTCCAGGTGCATCTGTCCAGCATGCTATGGTCTTCGCTCCAGTACTAAGGCAATTCCACTTCCTTCCCAAAACTATGTTGGTGTCCTCCTACGAACGATGAGTGTTCTACCCCACTCATATTGCGCACCTACATCTTCATTTTCTTTTTTTACCGGATGACATTTTGATTTGATAGTCAACTGCACGTATTTCAGACTCCTCTTTGGCAATTAGCAAGCCATTCAATGCTTCTCTAACAACTAGCGGAATGATCACTCTTCTCTACTTCTCTTCTTGACGATTACTTAACAGCGGCAGTGTTTTCACTTCCTTACTTGAATTCAGCAAAAAGGCTTAATGGGGCGAACTCCTTATTGATAGCTGCGATGAAAACTATGTCATTCCGAAAACAAAACGCCCACTGCCCAAAAAACTGCGCCCTACCTAACCAGTAATACAACAGTGACAGAAAGAGGAGAAAGTCAATACAATAGACGTCTTTATTATAAGGAGTAAATAATTAGAAGCATTGAAAATAATGAACAAGTCTCTCAAAAAGGCAAGCTGAACTTGGCCAGCTTTTTATGTCGTCCGCCTTACGGTATCCTCTTTCCTAAATATCACTAACGTTAGCAAATTGCGTATTTGTAGGCAAATATATAACTAAATTAGAACCACATTAAAGAAATACAACGTCACAGTTGAATGAACAATTCCATTGTGAACATCTCACCTGGCAACTTTCCTTGGACGACGAGAGTAAGGTGCAGCGCGCGCACCAGCCCGTCGATCCTTAAATTATTTACCGCATAGTGCACTCATTGTTCTTTTAAAGCTAGGTTTTTAAGTTTAATCACTTGTGAACCCGACTCACTGATAAACAACTCCCTGCTTTTCCCATTAAGATCACAGCTTCTCAACGTTGACCTCAATGTAAACGACATTCGGTTTTGAGAAATTGACTTTATCAAACTTTTACAATGACTAATCATTGTGACTATCATATCACCCAAAGGAGGAGTATAGAACAAAAGTAATTTTGACCTGTAAAGTCTTTTATTATAGTCGACCTATTATTCAATTATCACTGAAATCATATCAAGCGTTTTGTAACCAACCCGAGGGCGTTTGCAACGGAGGCTAGTTAGTTCCCTATAGCATGATAATCTCCGAAAACTATCTTAAATAATTATAAAAAATAGTGGAAAAGGAAATTCTGAAACGCTGCATTTTCAGGGGCAAAGTTCTGCACTTTTTTTTTAGCCACTTTTAACGGTCGCATACGTGCTAACCTCTTGTGTAGAAAACATAGAAGTTTAAGATGAGAACCATTAACTGAATTGAGCACACTGTATTCGGACGGTAAAAATCGAATTACTCACGTCGGACTCGACTTTGGAATTGGATTGATGAGGATGATCGTAGTGGTGATGTGATGTAGTTGCCCCCTCTGTCGCTTGTGTGGTCGGGTCATGCTGCTGCAAAATTTCCGCATTTCTCGATAGCTGCTCTAAGACCTTTCATTTTAAACAAATATGCGTGCCAATAAAGGCAGATAAAATCTGTTATGATTCTTTTCCAATTCATTTAGCTCGTTCTATGATATATTCTAGAAATACTTTTACACTAAAAGTCTATTTTCAGAAATGTCGTTCGCCCGCTGCCGAATTTAGCAGACATTTCTTTCAAAGTTGGCGCAATATTGAAGTCGTTTTGTAGAAAACGGCGTCACCACGGCGAAAACGCTTGAAACACTGGGGTTTCTCTTCGGTCCTTTCGTGACAAATTTTTAAGGCCGAATCAATCCAAGAGTAACCAAGTACTTGGTGCTCAGTTCGGTTTGATAACTCAACCGATATCCAACTAATACAATTGCTCGGCCGACTGAAAGCAGGAGTTCCTGCAACCGCAAGCCTACCCTCCTATTCGCAATTGCTGGCGAACGCATTAATGCACTGAATAGCCGATAGCGTGCTTGCAAAACCGCACCGGAACTCCAACAAAAATTACTTACTCGACCAACTATAAAGTAGGCGCAGTATTCGAAAGGTGAACCAGTGTTAGCCATTTTCTGACGAACGACTTCTGTGATGGCCGAATCAGAACAAGGATAATCATTTATAAGGAAAATGTTCTAAGAAACTCTGCTCCTCAAATGACTAGCAAAGTGAGGAAGTGTTGACTGAAGCCTACGAGTTGCTCATCGAGAAGCTAAGAAATTGTACCAAATGGGCTTACACTCCTCAATCATGAATTTCTTGTGCTACCCCCACCATCACTAAAGGATTTCCTGATTAAGAAAAAATAGAGCTGAATGGTGATCATACCGTAACACACCTACCGTAGACGTTAATAGGTGTTTATTTCAGATAATGGAGAGCTTACTTCAGAAAAACAATTAATACCAACCCAAATAAGAGGCATTCTGAAAAATTAATTCGGCTCCTATGCTTGAATTTTTTATTTTCACTTATCTT